GCTTACCATCAAAACAGATAGGTTGCCCTTTAAGGAGACAGAATTATTATGCAATGTATTATAACAGTTTTACCACAAGTCTTGAAACCAAAGAATGGGAAACATAAGACTGAGCAGACATGGAGAGTATGTATGGGAAATAGCTCCTCAGAAAAATATCCTGGAAACACTTCTCCAGATTAAAGCTGCTGAGAAAACTACGGACATAAATGCAAGAAGAACTCCTTGGTACTAAAGAAGTTGAAGATTACAAAATGTGTCGTTACTCTTAAGAACGAGGGGAAAATGAAAATACCTTTCTGTACAAGAGAATCAGTGAGAGAGACTGTTAAATTTGACATGAATTACAGTAGAAAATTGCTGGGTGAGCATGCAGAAACAGGATTGAAGACGGAAACATTTTGAAAAGAGTAGAAGCTAAAAAGAGGTGTCACTGGGGAACATGTGAAGAAGTGGCAGCTTAGGGTGGTCCATCCTGTGTGATAATACAGCATAGATGAGAGCAGAAGGAGTAATGATCTGTAATCAAGAATTTGACCAAAGAGAGATCTGGCCTTTACCCAGACTCTCTAATAGGAGTGTCTTTGTTTTGGGTGAGAGCTAGCCCCAGAAGATCTGAGGACGGGGCCAGCCATGCCAGAAAAACCAGCCACGGGATTTAGCGTGAATGCTTTGGGTCACATGGTGTCAGTCCACCTGGCAGCTGAGATCAACTACCCAGGCAGACAGTCAGTCATACCTACATAATGGAACCCAATAAAAGCTCTGAACACTGAAGCTCGGGCAAACTTCTCTGGCTGGCAGTACTCCATCCATATTGTCACACACTGATCCTGGGAGCTAAGCATTTTTGACCCTTCCTGGACTTCAACCTATGTGCTGCTTCTCTTGGGTGATTTTAATATCTATCCTTTCCTGTAATAAACCATAATCATGAAAAAAAAAAAAAGAAGGGAAAGAAAGGAAAGAAAGAAACTGCCTGGCACTAAATGTGGCCATCAGAGTGTGGACCTACCCTGGAGAGGAGTGGAAGGGTGGCAGTCAGAGTCAGGGGACTTCTACGCCCACTCCTTACCTTCTCAAACTCTCTGTTCAATTCTTGGAGGTCTGGGGTTGGCATCTCAATGGACTCTATTCCTGCTTAAAGACATCCCTACCTCCTTCCATGGTAGGGTTTCTCATTCCTGGGTGGGCATCAGGATTTCCTGAGAAGCTTTAAACAATGAAGATTCCTGGGTCCCACCTGAGACCTACTGACTCAGAATGTTGCTGGGTAGGACCATGGAACCCGTGTTTTTCTTTTAAATGCCCTGAGTGATTCTGCCATATTCCAGAAAGGAGCTACCCACCTGCCAGATCAAGTTTAAACCTCCCAGCCCTTCGGGATCTGGCCCTGCTGCCCCACACAGCCTCATGCCTTGCCCCTCACCCCAAACACGCAGCCTCGTGAAACTGCCCGTGTTTCTCTGACATGCTCAGGCTCTCTCACAACCAAGTCTTCATACACTTAATCTTTCTATCTCGCCCCCCTACCCCGACCCAGAGACCTTCTACACATCCTGCGGGGCCCAGCTAAAATGCCCCTTCCTCTAGGAATCTAGGAAGCCTTCCACACCCTTCCTCCATCAGCCAGACAAAACTCTTTTCCCTTTCTCGTGTGTCTCCCAGCACCTCCTACCTCCTTCTGTCACAGCACCCTTCACTCTACTGCATAACTATTTAATAACACCAGTGCCAGACAGTTTGCACAACTTGCCTCGTTTATGCCTCCCCAGAATCCTTTGAGGTAGCTGGTGATGGTGATGATGATGATAGCAAAGACTTAGCAGGTAAAAAGCCTGCTCTAAGCCTCTACATATGCTGCTAGACCCTTTCATCCCCACCACAGCCCTATATAGGTTCTATTATTATCAGACCCTTTTACAGATGGGGACACTGAGGCTCAGGGAAATCACTTGCTCAAACTCACCATTTTCATGAGTAGCAGAGTCACAATTTGCACCCAAGAGCCTCTGACGCCATGTGGCCCCTGTTCAAACCTTCTGCTAAGTAATCCCTGGGCCAAGCCCCTATTCGTTTTCCTTGGCCCCTGGGATCTGAATTGTTTCCAGTTTTTAGCTATTACAAATAAAGTTGCTGTGAATATTCATGTACAAGTATTTATAGTGCTTTCATTATAGCTGGGTCATATAGTAGGCATGTGTGTAACTTTTTAGGAAATTGCCAAACAATTTTTCCCAAGTGTATACCATTTCACTCCCACCAGCATGTGTGAGAATTCCAGTTGCTCCACATCTTCCCCAAGAGTTCATATGATCAGTCTGTAGAATCTGAGAAATCCTTTTTTTGTTGTGGTGGCTTTTGTTGTTGTTGTTTTAGACACAGAGTCTCACTCTGTTGCCTGGGCTAGAGTGCCATGGTGTCAGCCTAGCTCACAGCAATTTCAAACTCCCGGGCTCAAGAGATCCTCCTGCCTCAGCCTCCCGAGTAGCTGGGACTACAGGCATGCGCCACCATGCCCGGCTAATTTTTTCTATATATATTTTTAGTTGTCCAGCTAATTTCTTTCTGTTTTTAGTAGAGATGGGGTCTCACTCTTGCTCAGGCTGGTCTTGAACTCCTGACCTCAAACAATCCTCCCACCTCAGCCTCCTAGAGGGCTAGGATTACAGGCATGAGCCACCATGCCTGGCCTAGACATCCTAATAGATGTGTAGTGATATCATATTGTGGTTTTAATTTGCTTTCCCTAATAACTATGATATTTAGCTTCTTTTCATGTCCTTATTAGCATCTATCTTTTTTTTTTTTTTTTTTTTTTTGAGACAGAGTCTCACTCTGTTGCCTGGGCTACATCTATCTATTTTCTTTAGTGAAATGTCTGTTCAAATCTTTCTCTATGTTTTAATTGGTTTTCTTTTTAATACTGAGTTGTAAGAGTTCTTTACATATTCTAGAACTAAGTACCTTGCCAGACAGTGATTTCTTTTTCTTCCAATCTGTGGTTTTTCATTTTCTTGACAATGTCTTTTCTAAGAACAGTAAGTTTTGATTTTGATGAAGTCAAATTTATCAATTTTTTCTTTTATGAACAGTGCTAATTCATCTCCAGCAATATTTTATCACTTCAGTGTACAGGTCTTACATGTATTTTATCAGATTTATCCCTAAATATTTCATATTTTGTGCCATTAAAATTTTAATTTCAGATTGTTTGTTGCTAGTGTATAGAAACAAAATTGAAGTTTTTATATTGATCTTGTAGTCTATATCTCTGCTAAACTCGTTCATTAGTTCTAGTAGATTTTTTTGTAGATTCCATAGGATTTTCTACATAAATAATCAGTTGTGTGTGAATAAAGAGTTTCACTTCTTTCCAAGCTTAGCTGCCTTTTATTTCTTTTTCTTGCTTATTATACCAGCAATTTGTCTGTTTGAAGTCATCCTACAGTTCACTAAAATATTGGAGTTTTTTGAAGTTTTTTTCTCTGTGTCTCATTTTGCACAGTTTCTGTAACTACGCCTTCAAGTTCACTAATAGTCTCTTCTGCAATGTCTGATCTTCCATTATTTCTATCCATTGTATTTTTCATCTCAGACATTATAGTTTCTATCCCTAAAAGTTTTCTTTGGATCTTTAAAAAAATTTTCATGTCTCTACATAGAAGTCAATCTTTCTTATATGGCAGCTTAACATACGCAGTACATTCATAATAACCATTTTAATATTATTGTCTACAAATTTTATCATCAGTGTCATTTCTAGGTCAGTGTTGATTCTTATTTCTTTGCATGCCTGGTAACCATTGATTGGAATTTGTGAATTTTACCTTGCTGGGTGCGATGTATTTTTTATTTCTATAAATAACCTTAATATGTGTGTGTGTGTATAAATTATCTTAAATTTTTTTTCTGAGAAGTAATTTTTACCTGGAAATAATTTGACTTTGGTTAGGTGGGACCAGAGATATATTTGGTGTAGGGTTACTTTTTCCCCAACATTTAGCCCTCTGATGCCCCTTGAATTAAGAGGCTTTCTACTGTGGCTATCAGGAACAGGCTCTACTTCCCAGCCTTGTGTGAGCTCTGAGCACTAGTCACTCTTATCCTTTAGAGCGTTTCTTACCCCAGTCTCAGTACTTTCTAGATTAATACTCAGCTGAAGAGTTGAGGGGGAGCCTCTGCATGTCTCTAGTGTTCCTTCTCTGCAGCTCTCCTCTCTCCAGGATGCTGCTCTACAAACTCCAGCTTCTCTGGCTTCCCCCAAACCCCCAGCTGTGTTTTGTTAACTCATGGAGACAGCTTTGTCTCCGTCCCCCTACCCCTGGCCTGGGAACTTTCTCCAAGTGGCAAGTCTGTTATAGAACTCATCTTGTTTTCCCTTCTCTCACCCCTCACTGTTCATCACTGCCTAGTGTGTGCCATCTTGAGTGTCACTTTTTTTTGTTGTTGTTGTCTGTTTTGTTTTTTAAGATGTTTCAGAAGGGAGGGTAAATCTAGATCCTGTTACTCCATGCTGGCCAGAAGCAGAAGTTCTTAGCATCAGAGTTGGCATTGGTCAGGAAGTGTCAGGGTTGGCCTTGTGCTGGAGCTGGAGAATTTCCTTCTTTATACTAGCTGGCACGCCTGGCCCTGGGAAGGACTGACCCTACTGTGCTCTCGAGCTCTTAGGCACTGGGTACCAACCAGGTCAGTAGCCAGGGAGAGAAGATGACCAGTGTGTGCTGTGGGAAGCCAGAACTGGCGTATCTCATTATAACTTTGTCAACAGAATGATTCCTCCCTGTCTCCACCTCCCCAGCCATCCCCGCTGGGCTCAGGATGCCTTCCTCTGACAGCTCTGACCTTGGCTCCAGTTATGGACCTCACCTGGCCAGCGCTGGAAGGGGATTAGCACCTACGGCTTCCCAGCGGGCAATATTAACCACTGCCTAGCAACAGCTATTTGAAAATTCCATTTTTTGAGCAGTCACCATTTTCCAGGCCCTAGGCTACCTACTAAGAATCTGAAGCTGGGGGAGGCAAAGCAGCTTACCCAAGGTGACACAGCTGGGAAGGGGAAGAATGGGTGGCCTGCCAAAAATAAGCCCTGGGAACTTGGCCTTGGCTCTCGTCTCTATTTCTGGCTTCTGTCTGCCTCTGGGCCTGAAGCCCTACCCTGAATCTGCTTAGTTCTGGCGGTGGCATGGTGGGTGGGAAACACACAGACAGACCCAAGTTCAACTCCTACTTTCTAACTGTATGACTTTCAACAAGTCTCTTAATTCTTGTGGAGCCCCAAGAATTGCTTCTATAAAATGGGGTGATGATATTTACCTTGCAGGGTTGATATAAGGATTAAATAGTGTCTAAAAAGTGCTTACTTCCACACGGGTACCAATACATGGTACTGAGGAAGTTGTCATTGTGTCCTAACAACAAGTAAAAAGTTGAACAAACTGAAAAATCAACCACTCTTCTTAGAGCCATCAGAGAAGTGAGGTCACAGGGCAAACCGCTGCCCTAAAACTTGGAGAGACAGGCAGGCAGACACAGAGAATCACAACTTAGCGCAGAAACCCACCAGCAGAAACCTCAGAAGAACCGGCACCAGGCTGGGAGAGCCTAAGCTGCAATTGACCAACTGCTGGAGGCGCAACGTGGGAATGAAAGTCTGGAAGATAAAAATTCCAAGAAGATCCAGTAATAGGGGTGCCCTCACATGTTTGTGAGTTTTATCTCCAGGATATCTCCCAGGTCCTCCCAGCGAATATCAGGAGAAAAGCCCTTCATGCTTCCAGCAGGGGGATGGGCAAGGGAACCATTTTTAAATAAGCCAGGGTACTCCATCTTTAGACAAAAACTGTTTTACCAGAGCCAGGTCTTCTGGAGTTTTCTCAAAGCCTGATTGACCTGGGGGAAGGAAGTACCCAACTCCACTTCCCTCTAGCCATCCTGTCCCCTGCAAAGGGGAGGGGAAAACTGAGCAGCACTGGTGAACTAGGCAGCACAGGAGCATGGGTTCTTTAAAAGACGGAGACCTAATCATACATAGGACTATAGCTTCCTCTTCCCCACACCTTAACACCACATTGTTAAAGGCCTGTTTTACTGGAATGCCTTTTACCCAGCGTAGGGAAGACGGGAAAAATTCCCCTTCAACCTCTGAAGGTTTCCTGGAAAATCAACCCACAAAAGGCATATTAACAGGGGAAATGGCACACGCATTTGTTAGCGAGCGTGGAGGAGAATCACAGTGATTGTCCAGTATCCCAGTGGGGTACAGATGGTTCCAAATCTTCTTACGGGAAAGGTAGATGGGCAAGTGTGGATGATTTTAGGGGAGTAGTAAATGATTTGTAGGGGAATTCAATGGGCTTGAAGAACATACAATGGCCTGGGACAAAGTCTGTTGGGCCCACAGAAAAGACAATGGTTTGTGACAAAAGTATGTCCAGGTTTGTTGACAGACTTCAGTCTTTCTTCCTGTGATAGGAGTTCAGTTAATGAAAACTCAGGGAAGGGACCAGAGGTCATTGTTTTCTTCTTTGGCGGATCCAGACTTGAAGTAGATAAGGAAACTTCAGAGAACAACTTCATCCTGTCCATTGGGAGGGACAGAGGAGGAGAAACAGGAAGGCGGAGAGGTCAGAGAGACCTTGAGGCTTCTTCTCCAACTCAGCTTCATCAAAGCGCTGAGAGGGTGAAGGGGGAGTTTTCCCTTGGCCCCTACAATAAGCTGGGGCCAGTATCAGACCAATCCCCAATGCTGTAGCTAATCACATTATAGTGAGGTTGCGATGCAATGGAAAATTGAAATGCATATTCCACATGTCCCATCTTGGAAGACCTTGAAGATGCTTTTCAACATTTTCTCAGAGAATGTGAGAAATAGCCCACCAGACCCAGAACCCAGGAGCTTTCTCCATTCGCACTTTAAATCCAGTCAAATGGAATGTACACACTGGTGCTGGAAGGTCTGGGTGTCTGAGAAAGATGAGACCAGTAATACACTAACAGAGGACAAATATTCAGCCAGCTATAAAGCTTAAGGCTTTAGAAGGAAGCAGCCTTTTCCAGATTTTGCTGTCATCATTTTGCATTTAGATTTATCAATTAAAACATGCTATTTTTTTTTTTTATCCTTTAGTTCAGATGTTATTTCCTTTCTTGGAGACAACAAAGACTCTGATAAAGAGATTATTCAAGTCTATGCATAGTTCAGATAATAAATAAGCCATCCTCCAATTTTTCTCAAAAGTATTCTTTTTTGCATAATATTCTCCCCAAGTAAAGACATGTTATTTCAAAACGTCCCCAAATCAGAACGAGAAAAAAAATCATGTTAAGTTTCCTAGTATGGAAGTCCCACACAGTGAACTGAATTTGTAACTCTTCATTTATTTATTTCTCTTGATCCTCTTAGTTTTCCTGGTGACAGTGATTCCAGAGTAACATAGAAGAGCGTGGTTGTCCTTGTCATAACTTTGAGAAGTTAAGATGTCCTAGTTTTTATTTGGAGCCAGCTGTGAATCTCATACATGAATTTCTCTTAACCTTTTTGTTTTTATTAAGCTGTTTGTTTATATTTTTAGCTTGTGACACCTCTTGAGATAATGAGTTCCATGTCCCATATGAGAGAAAAATCATTTGTCTTTTACAGATAGAGTAAATAGGCAGGGAAAGGAGAGATCCAGCACACAGTTTCGTGTCCTGGGAATTCAGACATGGACCTGGGCCTTGAAACAAAGGACTCTGGCAGCTGAGGAATGTTCTGCAATTTTTGGTTCACTTACCTTCCCCCTCCAGGGCAGAATCTGTGTCTTTGTACTTACAATACCTAAACAGTACCTGGTATATACTAGACCAAAAAAAAGCAAGGCAAGGTGGTGTGCACCTGTAGTCCCAGCTGCTAGGGAGGCTGAGCTGGGAGGATCACCTGAGAGTCACATGACTGTACCTATGAATAGCTACTGCACTCTGGGCTGGGCAACATAGCAAGACCCCATCTCTAATATAAAAGAAAAAGATAGCAATAACAGAAAGATAGCTGGAAAAATCCCAAAATATTCGGAGATTCTTCTAAATAACCGTTGGGTCAAAGAAGAAATCTCCAGAGAAATTGAAAAATATTTGCAACTAAAGGAAATGAAAATACAGCTTATTATCCCATGGTAGCCACCACCATCATTCTTGTTATTATTATACCTCACCCTTTAGCCACAGCCCTGCCCCAGCCGTGGCTGGACTCAGCATGATTCTCATGTGCTGGACCACCCAGGCCCCGGCCCTTGGCTCTAGCTACTTTACTGTATTTTGGTCTTCCTGACTGTCATTGCTCTAAAATCTTTCCCACACTTTGGACTGGAGTCTGAGTTGCCACAGGTACAGAAGACAGTTAAGGGCCTCCTTATCTCAAGCATTCCTGCAGGCAGCTGATGCGGAGATCCCAGGGTGGAACGGATTGCCTGGTGAGAGGGTGAGAGCCATGCTCAGGCAGAGGCAGGAGGAGCAGCAGCCAGGGACGCTGCAGAGCAGATGCTTGTGTGGAATAAGGTGCGGACTCAATGACCCCTTAAGGCCCCTTCCAATTGTTAAGATTTTTGAGATTCTAAAATTCTCCACGATGCTTAGAACTTGTGATCCTTAATAAGCTAGATTATTCCAAAGATTTTTTTTTCTAAGATTATTTGATTTTGATATTCTGTGAGTCTCAGGTTTCCTAAGTGGTACTAAATGTGATGAGGTAGACAAAAAATTGCTACCTAAACATATGGTCCAGAGTTCCTCTTAGGAAGAAAAGGCACTGTCTTTGTTGGGGGAAATGCTTTGAGAAGGGCTTTGAGGAGAGACCCCTCCAAAAGCCTGGGAAAGCCAAAGCCTGGGTTCCTGAGGAGCAAACTGGGAGGGAGGGAGTAAGCGGAGAAGAGAGGAAGGTAGGAGGGCTGAGCACACATCCCAGGGCACCGTCTGTTGGCAGTGAGCTATGCCCCACGAGATGTGATCCTCCTTGGGAACATTCTGAAACCGCCTTACAGTCTATTCTCAGGAATGCTTGGAGGAAGTGCTTCAATTTTTATATGAAATCCAAGTAAAAGTCAGTTTCATCACATCCAGGCCAGTGTGGTTCAGGACAAAGCCAGCATGTTTTGCTAGAGGCAGAGATTATGGGAGTAAGTATGAGCCCCCGAGATTTGAGCAGGCTTCTCTGGGAGAAATTGGGGCTTCCTCATGTGGTGGTGCAGGTCATCCTGCATCAAGGGAACTCTATTTGCATCAGCGTCTATGTGAATGGCCTTCTCTACAGGCCTATAGTGTACAGCCTGAGCAACTGAACGTGACAGCCCTGGATCAGAGGTTAGAGGGGAAATTTCATCTCCCCTTGAAAGGACGGGGAGATCTCCCTCCCCCACTCCCCTAGTTAATATTCAGGCTCTATTTAGGTTCTGTGTTTAGGTTCTAAGATCCTAGGGTTCTTTGATTCTATAGTTCTCTAACTCCAAGAATCTAAGAGTATAAATGCTTTATAATTCTAAGGCAATGGTAACCTCACAGCTAAGGCTATTGTGCTTGCCACATTCTAGGCACTGCACCAGGTAGATGACATGAATTATCTCAATCAACCCTTATACCCTATGAGATGAACACTGTTATTGTCTTCATTTTGCAGATGTGGAAGCTGAGGCACAGAGAATTAAGTCATCCATGCAAGATTACAGTGGCAGGACCGCAGCCAGGTAGTCTGACATAGAGCTCTTCCCCTCTGCCCCCTGCTGCTGACATCCCAATGAGCCTCTTCCCCCTTTCACCCCCACCCCACTTCCATAAGCCCTCACCACGCCTCTGCCTGGGAGCTGCCCTTTCCCAGCTGAGGCCCCAGAAACTAGACAACAGACCCAAGATCTCCTATCCCGTGTCGGGGTGTGTTGTGTTAAGTTGTCATGCTGAGTTGTGCTGCAACAGGTTGTGTTGATGCATTTGTCTCCACTGCACTGTGAACTCTTCCAGCACAGGGACTGAATCGGATTCAACCTTGTAAATCAAGCTCTCGGTCCAGCGACTGGCACACTTTGGGAGCTTAAAGAAATGTTTATTATATGAGTGAATAATTGGCCAGATGAGCTCTCGAGAGCAAGCTCTGGTGTCTGTGCACTCCCAGATCACCATCGTAGGGGAGGGAAGACTTCACCCTCTGAGGGTTCAGTGACTGGGTCTATGGAATAAACTGACAGCAGGCAGATTAACAAAAGACAAGGTATACAAACATACTGTGTTTATGGGAGCCACACATGAAAGAAAAGTGAATGCCCCAAAACTCAGTGGGAGCACATACACCCTCTTCTTAGGGGAGAGGGGAGAACGTGTGGGCAACTTAGGGGAGAGGAAATGGTTTTGGGGAAGGACGAATGGGCCCTCAGGAGAAGAGGAGACGAAGAGGAGACACGTGATAAAGTCGGTCTGGGCGCGGTGTGGACCCCCAGTCTCCTGTCCTGTGATCCCCTTTCCTGGTTGATGAGATTCCCCAGGGAAGCATCTGCCGCAGTGGAGTGCCTTTTGGGGGCTCTGTCTGCAGGCAGATAAGGGAAGTGCAGAGAAAGGCCCTCCCCACGTTTGCCATTCCCAAAGTGCCTTCTGTTTGAAGTCCAAAGCAGCATGCTTTGGGGTGGCATTTCCTGAACTCCTTCATCCTCCCAAGACTGCACCCTGATGGGGCTGCTGGGGTGGACACAGTCCTCACCAGGAGTCTGCAGCCAGGAGCAGGACAGACTGGGTGCCAGGTCTGGAGCAGACACTGCAGCTGCAAAGACAAGGAGCCCAAGCCAGGGAAGGCGTGGGCCAGAAAAGTGGCCCAGATGCCCTCAGGTCCCTGGGGCTCATCCTTCCAGGTAACTGTAAAAGGGAGGTGGTCAGGGACATAAAGGTGCCTGAGGCAGGTGCCCTCTTCTCTCTTCAGGACCAGGGCCCCACCTGACACCTGCCTGGTTCAAAGGAGCTCTTCCCCAGGCTGGACTTGGCTCGGATTCCCAGGTGTGGGCTGGGGTCCTGATGTGGACCTTCCAGACTCCTGGACACAGAAGACCCATCTGCATTTCCTGACTTTGAACCCAGGAGGTTCTGCCTCCTGAGGCCTGGAAACACCTCGGCGTGGCCGGCTCTACAGCCTGTCTGCCCCCTGCCCACCTCAGCCCCTACACCATAGGCGCTCACATCTGCTCAGCCAACTGCCCTGCCCCGGGTTAGGCCTCGGCTTCTCCTGCCTGGACTCTGTCTGGTCCTGTTTACTGAACACTCGCCCTGACCTCTCCTTCCCCAGCCCATTCCCCAAAACCCACTGCCCTTCGGCAGGATTGTTCTAAGATGCAAATCTGAGCATGTCCCTCCCCTCCCTACAATCCTCCAGTGGCTGCCCATTGCCTACGACAGAAAGTTCCAGTTCCTGAGCTCTGGGTTCAAGGCCGCTGGTGGACTGCCCTGCTAACCTCCCCGGCCTACACTCCCTCTGCTCCCGTGTTCCACACCTTTGCACTTGCAGTTCTCACCGCATGTCGCGCCATCCTTAAATTCCTGCTCATTCTTCAAGAATCAGCCTTCCCGCAGTTACTCCCTGGTTTTATAACACCCTGTGCCCGACTGCGTGGTGGCAATAATCACATTGTTTCAGCGCTGTCTGTGTGTCCCCACCCACCTGTGAACTCTGTGTCAGCGCACACTTCGCCTTCGCACAGTACCTGCGTGTTGAGGGAAGGAAGAAAGAAATGAAGGAAGGGCAAGAGTGAGCGGGACAGGACATCTGGGGGGGGGGTCAGAGTGGGCCAGGGGTCCGGATGAGCAGAACAAAGTGTGAAGACACAAAGGATGGCGCCAAGAGGGAGGTGAGGAAGCTGCCCCAAGAGGTTCCCCCATCTCTCGGTGGGGGTCCATCCTGGACCTGAGCTGTGTGCTCTGAAATCCCAGGCATCCCTGTCATTTCCTCCTGTTTGTTGTTTCTGCTACCCTGTGAGGAAGTGCTCCCTCCCCCGCCTTTGGGAAGAGTGGCCCAGGCTCTCCCCAGGGCTTTGTCCCCTACACAGTCTGCAGGCAGGAAGGCGGCTGCCCAGCACATTCCTACCCAGGCCCCAGGCCCCTCGGGCAGGCAAGGCCTGAGCAGGCACTGGGGAGGAGATGCGGGCTGTGAGACGGGGACCAGGAGGCCACAGGGCCTGGAGGCTGCACCATGGGCACTGCTGCTGCTGCTCAAGCCCCTGGGTAGACTTCCTCTCCCAGCTCTGCCGCCTTAGCCACATTGCTGGTGACCTTAGCCACGTTCCTCATGGCAAAGTGCCTGATGCTCAGCCGAGCCCAGGGGGCCGGGATGCACTGACAGCTTTGTGGGCAGGGGAGGAACAATCTACTTTATTCAATACAGTCTCTCCAGGACCCTACATGCCTGGCACATGAGGGAGGAGCTCAGAAACTACAGGAAGGAAGGAAGAAAGGAAGGAAGGAAGGAAGGAAGGAAGGAAGGAAGGAAGGAAGGAAGGAAGGAAGGAAGGAAGGAAGGAAGGAAGGGAGGGAGGGAGGAAGGGAGGAAGGGAGAGGGTAGGAAGGGAAGGAGGAAGGGAGGGAGGCTATACTTGCTGTAGCTAGAGGACTGCAGGGAAGAAGCATCTCCAGGGGCGGCCCTGGTGGTAAATGTGGCCATCAGAGTATGGGACTCCTTCACAGAAGAGTGGGGGGCTGGGAGTCAGAGTCTTCCACCGGCACTCAACACCTTCTCAAGCTCTCTGCCCAGTTCTTGGAGGTCTGGGGTTGGCATCTCAATGGACTCTATTCCTGCTTAAAGACATCCCCACCCCTGTCCACGGCAGGGTTCCCATTTCTGGGTGGCCATCACAATTTCCTGTTTCCTTCAAACAGTGAAGATTCCTGGGTCCTACCTCAGACCTACTGACTCAGAATATTGTTCAGTGGGATCATAAAATGGTTTTTTTTTTTTTAGTGCCTAGGTGACTCTGCCATATCAACATGTAGGAAGTCCCCACTTACCAGATCAAGTTTAAACCCCCAGGCAAGGGATTCCCAGCCCTTTGGGATCTGGCCCTGCTGCCCCACGCAGCCTCACGCCTTGCCCCTCACCCCAAACACGCAGCCTCGTGAAACTGCCCGTGTTTCTCTGACACGCTCAGGCTCTCTCGCAACCAAGTCTCCGCACACTTCATCTTTCTATCTCTCCCAACTCCCAGAGACCTTCTACACGTCCAGCGAGGCCTAGCTAAAATGCCACTTCCTCTGGGAAACTTTTGAAGAAAATCAAAATATCTCACCCCAAAATATACTTCTCTTTGACATATGAGATGACACATGACATGCGAGATGACATATGACATGCGAGATGACATATGAGATATGAGATGGCTGCTCAGAGGCCTCCAAACGGAAGCAGCCCTGCGAAGCTGCCTTTTGTGGAGCAGAGTCACATCTGCAGGGAAATCCTGCATGCATGCGGTCTGGCCTCCTCTGAGGGCCTCCCCTTATCCAATCTAGGAAAGATTAACTGAGAGTCTGACGCCTTAAAGGTCCGAAAGAAACATTCAGGCCTACAAAAAAGAAGAAAGCAAAGAAAAGAAACATTCACCACCTAGTCCCTCCGAGGGCTGCCGGCTGTGAGGTTTCATCTGTGTTAACGAGACCACCTTTGCTGGCCAGGCCCCCTCTTCTCCCCTTCCAATACCCCATTTTGCCACCACAACCTGCTTTGCCACAGTCCAAGCCCCCATTCTTTCCGTAACCTCACGATGGCACATAAGCTTCTGAACCCCCTTGGGGGTTTTGGTGTAATCACTCTGTGGTTCCCCCAACATGCATGTTCACAGTTTGTACGTCATTTCTCCTATTAATCTGCCTTTTGTCAGTTGTTGTTTCAGGGAATCTTCAGAAGGCAAAGGAGTTTTCCCTGGCCCCTGTGCCTTCCACGCCCTTCTTCCACCCAGCCAGACAGAGCTCTTCTCTCCTGCCTGGGAGTGTCCCAGAATCTCCCACCTCCCTGCATCGCAGCCTTGTAATTATTTAATGATGCCAATGTCAGGCAATTTGCACAACCTGCCTCCCCAGAATCTTTGAGGTAGAGGATGATGATGATGACGACAGCAGATTTAGCGGTGAAAAGCCTACTCTAAGCCTCTACACACACCGCTAGAGCCTTTCGTCTTCACCCCAGCCTGGTGAGGTAGGTTCCATTATTATCGGGCCCATAGTATAGATGAGGATGCTGAGGCCCAGAGAGGTGAATTCACTTGTCCAAGGTCACACTGGCAAGTGGTGGAGCCAGGATCTAACCCAGGCAGTGCTCTGGGTACCCATGGGGCTTCAGCCCTTTTGCAGGTGGGGACACTGAGGCTCAAGGAAATCATTTGCCCAAACTCACCATTCTCATAAGTATCAAAATCACAATTTGCATCCAGGAATCTCTGACCCCAAAGCTCCACAATCCCACATGGCCCCTGTTTAAACTTTCTGCTAAGGAATCCCCTGGCCAAGCCCCCATTCCTGGCCTGTTTGATGTTCCCTTCCTCTCTCCCGCAGGCCCCCAGGGTTTATTTGCCTTCCCGTCTTCCCTGGCCTCCGCTCTGATCTCACTCCCTACCCATCCTGCCCCACCTCCAGTTCCCTGGAAGGAACACCCAGGCCTTGTTGAGGTCACCACTTCCCTGGCAGCAACACATACGAGCTTTCCCATCCCTTCTCTATCCAGCGTTCCAGAAGGAGCGGGCGGGCGAGGCGTTGGAAGGAGCAAGCCCCCTCCTCTCCCTGGTCCCTCCACCAGGACAGTGCAGAACGGCCCTGCCTGGCTGTCTGCCAGGGCTGAGAGGCGGCTCTGATGGGAGAACAGGGCACAAGGCTCTGTTAATGCCAGTGGTTCAGACCTGATCACCTCACTCCTGAGCCATGATTAGGAGGAGGGTAGGGTCCCAAGTCGGCCAGGAACCCAGCCCTGCCAACCTGGCAGGCTACCTAAATGTCCTGTGCCCCAGCAGCCCCACCCACCAGACGACAGCTCCTTCTGCAGAGAGCAGCTGTGAGGACCGACCACAGTAAGGACCATAGGCTGTAAAGGGTGCCCGGCACAGAGCTCCAGAAGTGAAGCGTCGCCAGTAGGTGAGGCCCTGCCTCCCTCTGCAGAACCGCAGCTGTGCAATCAGGCACCTTTTCAGAGGACTCCAGTGGGAAGCCGGGCTCCCCAGGGGGTCCCCAAGGGTCCCTGGTCCAGCCATGCCACCCACTGAGAGTGACTCTAATCAACCATCCAGCTGGGTAACAGCAGGCTTTCCAAATTACCTTGTAATCATAGATATTCTTTAACACACACAACTTGCAGAGCTCATCGCTTCTTCTCATCCAGCCTTTACAAAGCCTGGAGAAGCCTTTGTGAGGGCTTTGGTTCCACGCCAACCTGAGCTCATTTCCAGCTCTGCTGCTTACTTGCTGGGAGATCTTGGGCAAGTTATGTCCCTTCTCTGGGCCTCACTTTGCCTCATCTGCAGAGTGGGCAGGGTCCTCCCAACCTTTGCAGGTTTCTGTGAGGATCCCAAGTAACAGGTGTAGAGGAAGTACTGAACCGTCCTTAAAGTGCTAGTTCCCTCATTTTCTGGATTCAGAACAGCGTCTTGCTTGTCCTACAGCTAGGAAGAAGCAGGGGCAGCTCTGAGTCCAGGAGCCCTGCCTGCTTCCACGCAGGAAGACGTCCCCCGGTTTGTGAGTTTCTGAGGCCATGAGGAACGGCTCTGGCTGCTCAAGGACAAAGACCAATCTCAGGGGCCCGCTTTATGTGCCTCTTGTTACAACTCCCCTTGGTCATGGCCGGCCCAGGTCCTGCAGGTGGGTCAGAGGGAACAGGGTGAGAGCCAAGATGTGGGTGGCGGTCATGGGGTTTGGGGCCGTAAGCCCCGTGTCCCCCGGAAGGCCCACAGACACAGGACAGGAAAGCAGCGGCTGGCCCCATGGACCGCACAGCAAGGACGCAGTGACCTCATCCTCACAGCCCGGAGCACGGCCGTCAGCACCACACTCCGCTTTTATGGCCTGAGTCAGCG